TTATGTGTTTGCCTCTATCTCGTGTAGCATTTTCTTTTCATCGAGTTTCAAATCACAGCGATTCTAAAGAAGTTTCATTTCAAAAAAATGTTTTTAAGTAGAAAAAAAAATTAAGTACTTGCCTTTTCTCACGTAAATTGGAAAGCTAAAACAGGGATATACATACTAACCTCTTACAGAACATCGTAAGTTAGCAGTAATATCATTAACAAACAAACTTTTAACTCAAATTCACCTTCAGATAGTTTTATTTTGCAGATTATCCTATGTCTTTACTCAAGCTTCAAAATCGAGTTAACTCTTAAGCTGTGAGAAATACACTGACAACCAAAAGGTATAATATACGTTTAATTTATTCATTAACTGATAGCCATCGGGATGCATGTGGTAAGAGCATTGTTAAGACTCGCAAAATATTCATACGCGACGAACCACTGCGAGTCATGCTACACAATTTCGCCGAATTGGATTAGAAAACACGTCGAGCCGCACCACAATGCATTAATCAAGCCCGTTTGCTGTTAACATCGAATGTACTTAGTACAGGAATAGCACCACTATAGGAATAGCAATTGGAAAAAAATAAATCTTTTAATTTGCCTTAACTGCCACATCACAACCCATATATTTCACCGGTGGTAGCTTCCTGATGGATTTACAATGCTGACTTAAATAACTGTAAAAGTTAACTATTCAAAAGTGATTGTAAAAATCTATACTATATTTTTTATATGTAAACTGCCTCGGTGGTGTAGTGGCTAGCATGTACGGCTGCACATCCGGAGGTGCTGGGTTCGAGTACCGGGACAAGCCAAGTTTAGTTATTGAGTCTTTCTGTTTAGTAAACCTCAGTAAGAGCCCGAAGTTGGAAATTTGGCAGTGTTTCACCCTCGTGCCTCGGAGAGTACGAAAAGCCTTCGGTCCTACGCCTTAACTCTCACTGGTCGTGTCGAGTAGTCGTCCCACCGGAGTATGAGAGTGACAGGAATAGAGAGTGCACGTTGTGTCTGCGCGTACACTTGTGCACTATAATATCTCATGCGCAGTTGGCTAGTCTCTGTGAGATTGGCTGCCGTAGTCGGAATCGGTCAGGAGAACATTATCATCATATATACAAGAATTGCTCGTTTAAATATATTAAAGTAAAGTATTTTGATTTGATTGCAACGATTTCCCAATACATTTCGCTAGTAGCCGTAGCGCGTAGCCCGACGACTCACCCCCGCTTCGCTCGGGTTTGCCCCTAAGTACGTTTTAACGGTTAGTATGGAATAAATAAACTATATATTCCATACTAATTCAAAAATACTAATCCAATTCAAATTCTAATGCAAAAATATTTTTTTTAAATCTAATTAATAGTTTTTGAGATTAGATAAACAAACAAAGAAAATCTGTCTCTTTATAATATTAGTATAGATTTTGTAGATATCTACCTATATAATGGTCTAATGACTGTCATGTACGACTGCAGATATATAGTTCTTGGTTTCAATTCCCGGGTGATGTCAAATAATAATAGGGATTTTGTGTGAAGTAATTCAAAACCGGTCAGGAGAATTTTAATTAGAAATACTTAGGCAAATACTATTACGATAAAAGACAGTGTTAGTGTTGTGGAACACAAAAAGGGATTTTTGTAAATTTATAGCAAAGAAGAGGCATACAGAGAAATAGTTATAGCCGCCTATTCTCAGGAGAACTTCTTTCCGAGCCGATGGTAGCTTATTCACAGACTACACTGACGCTTACATTAAATTGACGATTCAATAGCACTTATCTAATAGCACAAGTCTAATTAAATAAAGTTTATTTCATTTCAATGACTAATTGGATTTTATGTTATTTTAGTGAGTTTTCTTATGATAATTGAATAAATTATATTATTGTTATTACAAAGGGTCAAAGAGGATAAACAAAATATAATGGAATTCAAATAATTCGTTATATATTTACAATAATATACAATCTCAGTTACATTATCTCAAACATTACATCCATTTTACTTACACTATGAAACAATTATGAATAAATATAAATAGAAATTTATTTCCTAAATTCGTTCATATGCTTACAAAATTTACACATATTTTAAACATTTTATTGTTAACTAGTTATTAACTTCCAGAACTCGAATTACGGATGTCACTTGGAAAGCTGCCATGCTGAAATGGGACTGGGCTGGTCACGTCATCCGGATGTCAGGTGACCTTTGGGCCAAACAGACAACTTTTTGGATCCCCCAACACAGCAGACGACAGCGTGGTAGGCCGACACGGAGATGACGGGATGAGTTGGACTCCTTCCAAAGAGAATGGCTCATTATGGCGAACGATAGGGAACAGTGGAGAAAGAGCAGGGAGGCCGTTGCCCTGCAGTGGGACACTACAGGCTTATAATAATAATAATAATAAGTTATTAACTAACCTAACCAATCCTAGTGACTTTTTACAATATATACCTTACAGAAACAGGAATAAAAAATATCTACCCTTCGTCATCCTCCTACCCATAAAGTATCTCTAAAAAAAACTTCAATCCATTATCCCATTGTTGCATAGATGAAGAATATGCTTTATAGATAAACTCACTCTAGCGTTTATAATTTTACTACTAAATTTTAAAGACTACCATTTACCTGCTGTATATGAAAAGGGGAGAAATCTAAAAAATTAGGAATTATATATATAGTTAATAGTGCCTAATAGTAATTAATAATAAGTTTTGAGACTTAATTCTGTAATTTCAAATGATATAATCCTGATTGATAAACAAGTGAAACCGCCACAGAAGTTCAATAACTGACACCTTAATCTCCTTTGAATTGACCGCTATTGACATCAATAGACTTAAACGTATTATTCATTGTATAGTAAAGTTATATCAGCTTGTCCAATTGGTACTCCTCTTTACGAAAGAATTCTAAAAATAGAATAGAACAGACTTCTGTTTTTATACTCTTCATTCGTAAAAAAACCGACACTGATCGCCGAATTCACCAACGTCACGTTTAAGGGATCCCCTAAGCATGTTTAGGGGGCTCTTAGGGGACAGTTCCTGTTTCAGCGACAGTTATGGGTTACCTAATGTTAAGATACCACCTAAATATGGGTACTAGAAATACGGGCCCTGACGATGTTAAAATAAAATTTAATTTCGGGGCTAGTTTAGGGGAACCTTTAAGCAAGGGATCCTATACGTAGGTAGTAGTTTATGGGATGTTGGTAAAAGCGGGCATGAGTCTTGTAAAATTCATTAAACGCTGCATTTTCTGTGGTCGAACTTGGGTACCCTTTTATTTAGGATAAAGTTATATAAGCGTAAGTATTGTGCAAATAATCATTATATACATACTATATTGGGCAGCCATTTCAAATCTTAGATATTTTAGTTTATATCAAAAGATAGTATTATAATAGTTAAAATCTCATTTTTATTTGAAAACATAGATAGTCAATATAAAAGACTTTTCCACTGGCTTGATTAAAACAAACCCTGGTATCGACAGCGAATGTTACCATAATATAACTTATAGCATTATAAAGATATGAAAGTTTACGCGATATTGGAGAAGTAAATTGTGCCCAAATGGCACTCCTAGAAGCCACGAAACAAAAAAAATAATTAAAACGAAAAAACAAAAGAAAGTGAAAAATTAAAAGTTACTCATGTATGCTACAGTAAAAGCAAAGTAATACTTGACATTTTAAACTTTATAGAGGAAGGTGCTCTAAACTTACAACAGCTAGTTAAGCTTCTAACTCAAAATGCCAAACAAATCAACTTGCATAACCATACTTCATTGATAATCACATAAAGTGAACAAACTAAATTCAATGTAGCGAATTTGGAAAGATAATTGTATATTTTTCTATGTACATAATATATATAATTTCAGAAATTATAAAATAGTAATTTTCAAAAGCTTAATTTTAAAGTTTCATGTCAACGGGAGAATATTAGAATTATTTACTGTAAAGATTCAGCATCCAAGGTAAATTGAAGCCGTGAACGTACTCGTCGCTTCACAAAACCGCGGTTTTACAATAATCGCGTAAAACTCGCCTGTCAATCGGTCTCTTTAAGCTTTCAAAGCTTTTTTATTGACTTTCCAATTTAAAATAATTTCAGTCAAAAATAATCATATTTTTTTACAATATAATATAAAAATCGCTTTTGATACTACTATTTTCCTATGACATTATAATTGATAAGAAAAATTAAATTATAAGTAAATAAAACACTAAATTGTTGAAAATGGGATATTGTGTCAGATATTCATAAAAACTAGAACACATAACATCTACGTACATATATAATAGTAGGGGAGCCCAAGAGGGGATTTTGGCATTTACTAATGTACGGCAGATGCTCATAAGGAGCGATACCTTACACTCTGTTGAGTATCAGTATCTTCTACACTGACCAAAATATTTAAAAAATATTTTGATACGCCGAAGAAACAAAACCCGCCGCTCTTGAGTAAATCCCAAAATCCCCTCTTGGGCTCCTCTACTATAACATTGCTAAGAATTTATATCGCGTACATATTCTAGTGACTAAGTAACCTGAACAGGAAAACATATAACATATAAGTATTAGATACTATATAAGCAATGAAATATAAGCTTATTTCTGACATTAAATACTTATTATATATAGGTACTTAGTATATAAACTTCAGTCATTCTTTCCAAATAATAAAAACACCATTTAAATTTAACATTTCAATTAAAAATTTCCTTTAAGCTTATCAATTATTTTTTCTAAATAACTTGAACCCACGCCTTCAAAGTTATTAAAGCTTTTAAATCCAAGATTGTTCACAAAATTTAATTGAGACGATCTCAAGAAATACGAATTGAGATATAAGATGATCGTCCAATTTTATATTTTTAATAAATACCAATTCTTATAAGATTTTTCTCTTTTAAGATTCTCTTGCTTCTCTACATTTTGTTTTTTCTTCAAACAAACGTCTCGTTTTTTCGCCTATCTCATACATATGTTGTTTGTAATTCAGTATGCGAGCTGGCTCTAGCTTTGGGCGCACATTTATTCCACAAAATTTGTCTGAATGTTGTTCTAAATTGCTTTGACATAGAACAATAGAGCACGAAGTTGATCGCACCGTTTAGGAGAGCGAGAGCATCCATTAGTTCCCCGAAGAGATTGTAACAGTACTTGAAAAAGCACCGTCCCAGCATCCCACTCATTAATCCTGTGAAATAATATATTTTGGTTACTTTTTAACTTGGAATAACTGGATTGATTTTAGCTGAACTTTCCTTATTTTGCGATCACGAATTTAATATTATTAATTTTTATACTAATTGAATTAAAAAAATTAAGATATCTGCAGCTAAAGTTCGACTACTACTATAAAGGCCATCGGGTCGCAATTATCTTTCGATCTCCAAATTTCTAAAGAACTTTATATGTACTGGCTTTCATACTTTGCAACAAAAAAATAATACATATTATTAACATCTTTTACTAGTAGAGTTATAATATCAAACTACACATTTGAATTAAAAAATATTGCTCTTTTCCAAATCTGTCCTACTAAGCTCAATGTAGGACTTGTACTAATTTAACGCCACCTATAATTCTATGTAAACAAAAAGGTTTATATTAGGTAAATTAATCAAAATTCACAATTCACAAAATTTCGTTTGACCTATATATAGCGCCTTAAGCGGGTCATGTTATTTGGTAACGAACTAGGTGGAAGTACACTTGCAAAAGATAAATTTGGATGATCTTCTAACAAAGTTTCAGTTTGTATGCCAAGATGCTGTAATGTTAATTATAAATTTTATAATAAAACACGTTTTCCTTGAAATTAACGAATAACCTACATTCCATTAGGAAAGTAGCGAAAAGTATGGTTCATGAGGCTATTTGTCAACATGTACATTTATTTGATTCGTGCTCTCTCAATACTACATTAAACTGTACTATAAAAAAACGTGTGCGTGTACTTATGTACGCACGTAAGAAGTTATACTTCTTTGGCGTAACAGAATAAAAATAGGTAAAGATTTTAACCCGTATATCACAACTCTCTGTTTGTAAAAGGAATGTAGCTAACTTCATTATGTCGCTTTCAGCTAACTTCATTATGTCGCTTTTCGGCTGTCGGTGTGCGCAAGCATCGTAAAAATTTTACTCTCATAATTTTTCCAAACGTGCCAAAAGAAGTATCACTTCAAAAAATATTTTTTAGATAGTATGAAACATTAAATATAGGCATAAATGAACTAAGAACGCCTTAAATTTAATACATGGTATCCTTCTAACAAATAAGTACATTGAAGTAATATATTACGACAAACGCCTTAATAAAAATTAGTTAAAGCGAGGAAAAAAATTAAATTAGACCATTATTCGTCATAACTCGTTGAAAATGTTCAAACAAAAAGAAACAAATTGTCAAATTTCAATTCTTTTCAATTAATTAAATTGAATTTCTTACATAATTATTTTGTAAAATATCGTAATTCAGTTAAGTTAATTCAGAAACATTCTAAAGGCGTATAAGCATGTTATTACGAAATACTTTTCACTAATAGCACAAATCACATGTTCTTCCAAAGGCCACGTACAGTCCCTGAGGCTATTTTTGGCGAAAAATAAAAGGGAAAGCTTGTTCCCGCTGGGTTTAGGTATAATTTCTACAATTGAGTACAAGATAGTAATTTATACATATAATAAAATTGTAACTCAGCCGAATCTGTACATTAAATATTTTTTGGAAATCTTATTGAAATAGACATTATTATCGATACAGAGGTCAAATCTATAGTTTTTAGAATTTTTGTCTATCTGTCTGTCTGTCGGTTACCGCATCACAGAAAAACCACTGGAGGGATTTTGATGAATAAGAGTATACTAATATGTAAAACCTAAGAATTTGGTTTTTGGTCATCGCGAGCGGAGCCGCGGGCAATGCTAGTAATTTATAATTACTTTCATATGACATAATTATTTAGAACATTTAGTATGCTGAAACATCTACATATAATATAATCCATACTTTAATATTATAAATGTGAAAGTGTGTTTGTATGCTTGTTTGTTTGTCCTTCTTTCACGTCACGGATCGACGGATTGGCGTGATTTTTTGTGTGGAGATAGTTGGAGGGCTGGAGAGTGACATAGGCTAATTTTTACCGGGGGAGATTACCTAATTCCTACGGGAAAGCATGTTATAATATAATATAAAAAAATATATATGATTAGAATTACTTGAAACTTGGTATTAATGCTCTTCAATCAAATTAAATAAATACGTATTTTAGCAGTTTTCGAAATTCTTTATATATATATATATATATAATATATATATATATATATATATAATATATATTATATATATATATATATATATATAATATAGTTTTAGCGCGAGCGAAGCCGCGGGATCTCCTAGTATGTGTATAAATGCGAAAAACTACTCACCGATTACAAACTTGAAAGGCAAGTAAATTCCTAATAAAGAAGAAGTACTTGGTATAAAGGAATTTTTGAAATTGAACCTCTAGAGGTGTTGGAAGTTTCTATAAAAATCAACTAGTTTCAAACTACGTGGGCAGAACATAAATTTACCCTAATCGGAAATCGAACTAACTGATATTTCAGTATAATAATTAATCCAGACAGTCATTAGTGTAGTTTTCCCAAAATACATTAGGAGTATAGTCGTATTTTAAAAAGCAAACGTGAAAATCAAAACTTATATTATTAGAGTTCTCTTTCAACAATGTACGGATAATTTATTTTACCTAATTCAATTCTCTTCCAGACTGCCATTCGGAAATTTAGAAAATGGACTATTGTTAATTGGACTAATTATGTTAACTGCACGTATAAATTGAATGAAAACAATTAAGCCCCTAATACATTTGGTTTTCATTTGCTGAAATATTATCTTTTGTCTATAAATTCTTTGCTACTTTACTAGCAATTGTCTACTGCTCCATTCGAATAGTTTATTTTTGTGCATTGGTGTTCGCCTAGTAATCGAAATTCGTAATATAGTTCGTTATATATTTATATAGTTATATAAAAAAAACTACTTCCAAAAATGTATATTGATAACACAAAGGCTCGTCAAACGAAACAAAAATAAATAAATTGGTCGAGAAACATAGAAGAATTTTTTTTTTTTTGCCTGTTTATACATAGATTTGTTTTTTTTTTCAATATTCGTGGTGTTTTTTTAAATATCCCTAATTACATAGGTAATAAAATATATTTATACTATATCTCTATTTCTCTCAGTTATTTCTTAATTGATGCAAAAAGAAAGCTATAAAAAGCAAAAATGTTATTCAAATCAGACTGACAGTTCCAAAAATTAGTGCGTACGAACAAAAAAAAAATCCGCTTATAATATTAGTTAATAATGTAGATAATAATGAATTTCAAAGTGTGTTTGTTGCTTTGTAATTTTTTCAAGCTCTATCAAATCAATGGATCGAGGTGATATTTTGCTAAGATCATTGATAGAGCTTTTGTATATTCTTAGAATAAAATAATCAGTGGGTCAAAGAGTGTCATATATAAATTAGTATGTTAGTATTCTAAAATAGTAAATAACAAATAATTTTTAAAAGAGCAGCTGCTGGGTTTTCAGCAAGCTATTTCCGAGAAAACTGGTTTACGAGCCGGCGGTAAAATTTTCACTAACTTACAATATTGAAATTTTAATTTAACTGTAAAGCTCTGTTAATTTAACTGTAAAGTAAAAGTGAGTGATGTCTTTAGTATCTCTGCTCAAATTTGCTCCTCAAAGTTTAATGACATTTCCGTCAGATTACATAGACTTCTTAACAATTAACACATAATAACATACATTTTTATGTGAAAACTTTACTGGTTTATTTGTTATACATAATTATTTATTTCTATGTAATACTTCACTGTATGTTTCCCAAATATATTAAGAAATAAAAAAAATACACTCAGTCGAATTTAGTACGTAAATTTTGACCTACCCAGGAATAGAACATTGCACTATCATTAATTAGAACTATGAAACTAACAAATAAATAATAAGAGAAACTGTAACATGTGTAATGACAAAAATGTTATATTCGTTCGTGATTTATCGTTCAAATTTTTATTTCCAGCTCGTCACCATGAAATCATAAAACAAGAGTAAATTAAACATTTAAAAACCCTCGACCATCTTGGACTGATTTTCATCAAACATAGCTAAAAACACTTCCGACTAATGCACATTTCAAACAAAAAAAAACAAAATCAAAATCAGACACGTCAAACTTATAACACCCCGTAGTTTTTAGTTTTTGCGTCGAGGGTTTATATATGTAGCAATATACTCTATGGTCGAGGGTTACAAACGTTTATTTGTATGTAGCTATTAGCTTCTAAGTTCTATATTTACGCTGGCTTTCTGGGTATGCAAAACAATAGAATAAATACAACCATTTTTACGTAGTAATCGAGAAAATATAAGAAACAAGTTGTATATCAATGTATGAAGTCTACGAAGGTTTTTTACCCGCCAATAAATTCGGATAATTTATGATTTTTTAAAACAAAAGATATAATATATATACCTGTAAATAATTTATGTACGTGACATGTGTATAGGTGACTTTATACTTAAGTAGAGCCAGGGTAAATTGCAAATATTAAATAAATTAGCATTTTTAATCTAGCCGCTTAATCCCGTGTTTTACTAAACCATTATTTATACTTGTATTAGATATGTCTAGCCGCATAGTAAAGAGCGCTAAAGCTTAACCTTAATACATGTCGGTCTAAGTCTTAGCCAACTAATATAAAACTATATAAAAATGAATGTAAATTAGATAAATCCCTAAACAAAGGAAAATTACTTCAAATACATAATATATTATAGTAATTTTCGGTTTATTCTTGCAATAATGATTTATTATATAATTATTCTAATTACATACTTAACCGCCCCAAACTTGGTTTAACATAACTAACTTTCAAAGCAAATGAGCCTAATTAATAAACTTTGTACAAATAAATTACAGGTTTACTGCTTACCCAAAATTCCTTGAGGAAATTCAGTCAGCAAAAACAGTAGAAGTACAGCGACAAGCATTCTCGTAGTTCGATCGGTCCTTCTCTCGGCTTTTGAGCGCTTAGTAGTTTTCCTTGTGAACACATTTCCGTTGCCATTGACAACCGTATCTCGACACGCACTATACCCTTTGAGAGCCTTCTTCCGACTGTTAGTTCTATACAATACTCGGATTAGCCAAGCACTAATCACGGTTAAGATTACGCAGGGAAGTAGTTTTATGACCACAGCGTGAACCCAAAAGTTGATCTGATATAGACTTCCGTCGTAATTAGAATCCACGTAGTAGACCTTTGACGGTGACCGATCTAATGTAAAATCTTCATGTATAGTAAATACCTGGAATTAATAAAAAATAATCATTAATTAATTATAAACAAATGTATGGTATACAAGCATTGCCCGCGGCTCCGCCCGCGTTCAGATGACCAAATACCAAATTCTTAGGTTTTACATATTAGTATACTCTGACAATGCAGTTTTTGTATTTTTTCTCAGAAATGAGATATTTTCCCGCGGTAAAAAGTATCCTATATGTTGACCCGGATAACCAGCTATCACCATACCAAATTTCATCAAAATTCCTCCAGTGGTTTTTCTGTGATGTGGTAACAGACAGACAGACAGACAGACAGACAAAAATTCTAAAAACTGTAGATTCGGCCTCTGTATCGATAATAATGTTTATTTCAATAAGATTTTAAAAAAAATATCTAATGTACAGATTCGGCTTAGTTACAATCTTATTATATGTATAGATATAGATAAAACGTTCGAATTAAATTTAAATTAATAGCATTGGTCTGGTTTTTGTTATAGCTAAAAAACTTTATAAAGGAATTGAACCTACAAAATGTTTATAAATACGCAACCACTGTGTCATGAAGTCATCAGTAATACCATAAGTTATTAGCTAAATAAAAGGTTAGCGGTAATACTTCACGTATTACGCGTACATATTTGCGGATGACGTCACACTTTTAGAAAGATCGCAATTAAAGTACACAGCTGTTCAATTAATCATATTAGGATTGTGTTATGATTAATTAGATGAAAAACAATATATAAAGTAACATTTGTTAACATTTTTGAAAAACATTTGTTAACAATAAAATAACATTGGTAACATTTAATCTTTTATACCTGCACTAGCATTGCCCGCGGCAACGCCCGTGTTCAGATTACCAACCACCACCAAATTCTTAGGTTTTACATATTAGAATACTCTCATTGCAGTTTTTGTATTTTTTCTTAGAAATGAGATATTTTCCCGCGGTAAAATGTATCCTATATGTTGACCCGGAACACCAGCTATCATCATACCAAATTTCATCAAAATCTGTCCCGTGGTTTTCTCGAGATGCGGTAACAGACAGACCGACAGACAGACAAAAATTCTGAAAACTGTATCGATAATAATGTCTATTTCAATTAGATTTTCCTAAAAATATTTAATGTACAGATTCGACTTAGTTACAATTTTATTATATGTATAGAATTTATCATGTAGGTACCCTTTAAAGAACAGTTAATCTACTTAAGAGACATTACTAACATAATGCAACCCATATTTGAACAATAAATATATTTAAGACTCTTTGTAAATGCCTATTCTACCATTTACATTGCTACGTTAGAATTTTTATGAAAAATTCCTTCTTATCCTATTCTATTAGGACAATATTTTTCCAAATTTTATGCTTTAAGGTTTAGCTTATATGTTAAACCTACTAATTTTACAAGAGATTTACCATCGCTTCGCTCGGGAGCGTCCCTAGGTGCGAATCTTTCCGTAATACATTGTTTTTTATAATAACTCTATTGGAATTTTTTATGAAACGTAAATTCGAATCTTCAGTAATTTTTAAGGATTTTCGATTTTAGCGTTGGAAACCTAAATATTTCAGAAATAAAACATACCCTATATGTAACCATACAATAAGTATCTACGGTCGCATCGGTGAGCGACATGCTAGGACCCTTCTCGCCCTCGTCTGTTACTGCCCCCGCTGTCATCGTCGTAGTTAACATATTATTATGTTTCGCGAGTTATTTTAATTCTGTGATATCTTCTAAGATATTCATCTAATTTAAATGGTGTAAAGGTCAGTTTTGATCTAAATTAAGTGCTTAAGATGTCTAACATATGTATTTAAATAAGGATTAACACCTAAAAACACCTTCGAAAATATAACATTATTTTAGATCCAATTTGAGAACCATAAAAATGCTTATTGTACGTCCACTTCAAAAGATAGCTACATGCTATCGCGGAAATTAGAACATTTCGTGGTATCTGTTCGGTAGTTTTTGAGATTATAGCGTTCAGTCAGACAGACAGACAGATGCGATTGGGGACTTTGTTTTATATTATGTATAGATATACTTGTTTTCGTCGTTAATTTGAACACGTATAAGATTTTATTTAAATAAATCTCAATCATTTAGGGAAATTGAATTAAAAATATTTACTAATGTACGAATTCACACGGATATACACTAAGATAATAGAAAAATATATAAACCCAGAACCAATTTTTGATAAAAGATTTATATTAATTGTGTAATATTTAATATTGTTTTTTCAGATCTATAAGTAAACACTGTAGAATAAATGAACAGTTAGATTGTAAGTTGAGAGGACCCTGAGTGAAATGACATACACAAATTCCCATGTTTGCTAAATGTTCTTAGTATTCAGAGCCACGTTATGGCTAAGTATTTCTATTGTATTTATAGGAATACCATCGGTATCGATTAGTTTAAGGTGTGAGAACCTTGGCCGATAAACCAAGCTTCATTAATTGTACTCTGCCACACCATTACGCCCTCAATCCATCACTGACTGGGATGTATTAGTTTTAAATTATTTTGATAGTTGACAATCCTATTTTAGATCCAATTGTAATACATATTAGGGATAATTCTATTATTAGAAAACAATAATATTTCATACTTCATTCATATATTTATAATATATACTATATTTATTTGTGATGTGATGTGATGATGATATGATGGTGTAATGGGAATAATAATTACTTTTTAAGTAAATCAGGTACACCGACTTCAAAATCACTTATAAGTTTAATCATTCACACTTATTGGTGGTTTTTTTCTTAAAATTATATCTCATTTCTGAGAAAAAATACAAAAACTGCATTGTAGGAGTATACTAATATGTAAAACCTAAGAATTTGGTTTTTGGTCATCTGAACGCGGGCGGAGCCGCGGGCAATGCTAGTTTGTTATAATTATAGAAGGTAATATTTAAACACGCGGTATCCTATCAACAGATTATTTATTTTACAAGTTCATTTACACAGTAATATATTTATTACCAGCATAGTTTACTAATCTACACCTACTTATATAAATTTAGTTCACAAGCGTAAATACATTGGTTACGTACTCGAAACCATTGGATATCTTAATTTTTGAAGAAATAATAATAAATTCATTTTTGGGCAACTTAAAAAAAGGAAAAGGTACTTAATTCAAGGATGTTTTTTAGGATGTTGCACGATGTTTTGGCTGTTGTGAAACAATTTTTGATTTTTCTCATATAAATATATATAGAAAAAATCTTTTAAGAATTTTAAATATAGCTTCCCAAGGGAACAAGTAGTAAAAAGGATTATTTAATATACCCTTACTTTCATTATATAAAAAATAAATGAAAAAAGACCGACTTCCAGGCACTGAAAACTTTTATTTTTTAAAAATACGAATTAACAAATATAACTGAATTTTAACTTTAGGGCAGACGTCAAGACCTTGTTCCAATACCACTTTTTTCCCTGTTGCTATTGAGACTATAAGTAATAGAAAATATGGAGTTATCCCAGATGTCATGTTCGTTCGTGAATTTTCTCATCGTGCGTGAAAATTAATGAAAATAAGGTTTTAAATAAATTGTATTGTGCTGATTGAAACTAATTACCGTTAAAAAGCACAATCGACAAAGAAAATATTTTCGGCTAAAAGTCTAGAACCGCTGAGCAAGTCAATTGTAGAAAATTGCAGTTTTCGAGCTGCCGCTATTATTTTAATTGTTACCAATAAAAAGTCATTGTGAAATTGTTTTTAAGATTTCTTTTCTATTTCATTTTATAAAACTATAGTTTAAAAAGATTTTGTTTTAACGTTTGATGTCGAAGCCTTGCTTGCGCAATATAGTTAGTATAGTAGTTGCAATATTTTATATTAGCATTTCATTTTTACTCCATTTGAGTAAATAAATAAAATACTCTGTAATTTATTATTTAAAATTATATAACAATATTATTTTTATCTTCTATAATAGAAAGTTCAATTTACATTTTATTGTCTTCAATAAATATTCTTCTGTGTCTCTAATAAAAAATAGGCTCTTTCCGAGAAACAAACAAACTAATTTTTTGCTCTGTTATTGCGTGTTTAAAGAACAAACATATACAAACACTTTCGCATATTACATTAAAATACATGGATGACCCAAACTTTCTTTTTTTTCGAAAAAAAATTTTTTTTTTTTGGTAGATTAAGTTTATCATAAAAGCAAAACCTTATCTAAATATAAAATTTGATCAAAATCCTCAGAACCTTTAACGAGTTACACGAAATACATGTATATATAAATATATATACACATAAATATATAATATATGCCTCGGTGGTGTAGTGGCTAGCATGTACGGTTGCACACCCGGAGGTCCTGGGTTCGAGTCCCGGGTCGGGCCAAGTTTAGTTATTGAGTCTTCCTGTATAGTAAGTCTCAGTAACAGCCCGGAGTTGGGAAGTTGGCGGTGTTTCACCCCCGTGCCTCGGAGAGCACGTAAAGCCGTCGGTCCTGCGCCTTAACTCTCACCGGTCGTGTCGAGTGGTCGTCCCACCGGAGTATGAGAGTGATAGGAATAGAGAGTGCACTTGTGTCTGCGCGTACACTTGAGCACTATAATATCTCCTGCGCAGTTGGCTAATCTCATTGAGATTGGCCGCCGTGGCCGGAATCGGCTAGGAGAACATCATCATCATCATATCTATGTATATACAATATATGCTTATTTAATATTTATAAGATTAGCATGCATCCTACGGGAGATGATTCATGTACTGGCACCAAAAATATTAATTATGTTAAAGAAAAACTATGTCAACCAATTCTAAGAGAACGATAGTTAAACCTTGTATATAAATTATTACGTATTAAGAAATTATTGTAACATGTACATATTTTTTCTAATATTTTAATTTAATAATATTCTAATACATCTTTATTAAATAAGATTGTACTATTAATAGTGTCGTAGGCATCAACTATTTATTCCTTATTTATATATTTTGCTAAATTGCTATATTTAATTAATACTAAATTGTATTTCAAATACTTATAATAGATTAGCGTTTTGTTTCTGAACGGATTTGTATTATCTTTCCAATTCACTTATGTGTTTTATTATTATTTATAAATAATTATTATTTATTACAGTTATAAATAATTCATTAAAATATATTAACAAATTATTTAATTTATCTTAGTTGCTTTTGATCATTATGGCGTCTGTGCAGGTAATTGTATTTAAAGCCGTGTAATAGTGATAAGTCTTTTGTGTAGTGTTTCATTATATTTTTTAAATAAGTAAAATCTAGTTAAATATAAATAATATAAGTAAATTAGTAGAATTTTTTAAATAACAAAACCGAAGCAAATACGCTAAACTAAGTGAAAAAACTACAGAATCGTCTTCTACTGCAATAAATAGAAACCCCCAAGGCACACTCAAAGGTGATCAACGAAGCGCGAGGAAATCGTGAAATAAAATGTCATTTTACTTATGCAGACAAAAATTCTCAAAACTATAGATTTGGCCTCCCTATCGATAATAATGACTATTTCAATAAGATATTCCAAAAAATATTTAAGTAATGTACAGATTCGACTCAGTTAAAATTTTATTATAGGTATGTTTAGATAATATTCGTATGTTTGTATTCTCTATGCATTTCTAAACCATTGTCCGATTGTGATGATATTGTGGTAAGTAATTCTGTATACGTCTGTAAAGGTCCTGGCGCAAAATTTTCTCTAAAAAAAATCTTTGGACCTTTGTCATTTATGCGTACCTAAACCATTCAAGCTTAGATACCGGTAGATTTTTTTGCTTTAGCCAGTACTACCCACTAAAACTCAACAGAACCTCCCCTGTTTTAATGCGGCATCGCGTCCACTTTGCTGTCAGAAAAGTACCTGGAGTAGCCCGTATGGTACACCACCCACCAAACCACCTCCCAGTACGTTTCTTGGCTTCGCGCCAGGTTCGATTGCCGTACTCTGTTAAGTGGTATTTTTTATGTGAAAAATGATTCGCATATGGAAATATCAGAGGCGTGACACTCGGAATTTGAACCCGCTTTACTCGCTTTCCCAAGATAAAAAAATAAAAAACAAATTTAAAAAATGTATTTATGTTTGAACACATTTTTCTTAGTAAACTTTTTAGGAAATATTATAATTAATAAATAATATTTTATAAATAATATTTTTCTCTATTTTTCATATCCTTTACCTTTCTTTGAAAATAATAATAATTTTAAAAATTTCGAATTTTTGCTTTTTTTTATTGGTTTTTATTGAACATGTTATTAGTATTATTTATTAACTTTCACATTTTCATTAGAAATACGTGTAACAAAAATATATAGTCATTGGTCATCTATTAGAATGTTTGGTTATAGCAGTAAAATTCAAGTAAATATTGGACTCAATAAGCTCAATTATGTTGATTGTAAGTTATTACTTGCACCAAACAAAAAATAATAATTCAATCCTTCAAAATCATACAATTATAATTGAGTATGTGTATTAAAATTATTGGAATCTGTATATAAAAAAATATCATTAATAACAACGTATTTTGTATGGTTTCTAAAATATTACCGCCAGTATTTACATAGTCTTCAAAAATACGAAGAAGACTTATGCAAGACATACGTTAGGTAATAAAAACGATTCTATTGCCATTGGAGCATTCACAATAATATCAAAGAATACTTCTATGATAAGAACCACATGGAACATAATATTGGTAAGTTTGTTTACTTATACGGCGAGTCTATCTCCATTTTTAATACATGCAAAGGTTTCTTTGATGTAGTGCCTAGCTCGTAGGGTTGCAGGCCTGAAAATCTAGTCCCGGGTCGTATTAAATATAATAATATAGTAATTACTTCTTCTGTTAAGAAATTCTCAGTAACAGCTTGGAGTTAGTAGTATTACAGCCCTAGGGCAAAATCGGACTTGCGCCTAACCTCTCACACTCGAGTCGAATTATCATCCCATCGGACTTTGTGAATGTAAAGAATAGAGAGCGCAGTTGCCTTTGCGCAATCTTATGCACTATAATCGGTCATAGAGGCATTATTATAAGCGGAGTTTATTAGATCAAATTGCCTATAAGTTACCGGATACACTGCTTAGATGCTACTTGTAGGTGATTATCTATACATATAATAAGATTCTAACTAAGTCGAATCTGTACATTAAATATTTTTTGGAATATCTTATTGAAATAAACATTATTATCGATACTGAGGCCAAGTCTATACTTTTTAGAATAATACATATATTTTTATCATTTGCCGCCGCGACCCTATTTATAATTTGAAACAAGAACGTTCGTAGATTTCTACCCTTTTAGCAAATAACATTTACTGTTTATGTGTCAGCTGATGAAAAATATATTGAATATCTCCTACCCCTGAAGTCATCGTATGTCACATATTACCATCTGTACATATAATAATCTGAGTCGAATTTGTACATTAAATATTATTTGAAAAATCTTATTGAAATAGTCATTATTATCGATGCTGAGGCCAAATCTGAAGTTTTTAGAATTATTGTCTGTTTGTCTGGGAACGCATCCCAAAAAATCACTGGACAGATTTTGATGAAATTTAATATGATGATAGCTGGTTATACGGGTCAATATATAGGATACTTTTTACTGCGGGAAATGTCGCATTTCTGAGAAAAAATACAAAAACTGCAATGTAAGAGTATACTAATATGTAAAACCTTAGAATTTGGTTTTTGGTCATCTGAACGCGAGCGGAGCCGCAGGCAATGCTAGTACTAACACACATACATATAATAAAATAGTAACAAAGCGAAATCTGTACATGCAATTTTTTCAAAACAATAAATCTTACGTATTGTGTACATAATATAGACCCCAAAACAGTGGATGTTATTTTTGTCTGTTTGTCTGATGTCTGAAGTGTCAATATGATGAAAACTCAATATTCCATCTATCGCGTATGGAAATGTGAGTAAAGCCATAAAAATATCTTTGCAAATTAGGTAGATACAATATGAAACTATGAACTATTCCAAATAATAGACTTCAAATATTAAATGTGTACAAAAATCGATAGGTTTTAGAATGTTTCAATAAAAGAATCACTAGAAAAAGTAAATGGACATTTTTACGTAACATCCTAATACTGTGCTATTTTTATTTAAAATATTTTGCTTTAATTCTTTACTTTCGTCTATATTTTTGATAGAAATTGACAGAAATTTTACTTTTATTATGGTTTCACAGTGTATTTGATTGGGATCTTTGACTATAGAGCGACAGCGTAGTGTAAACTCAATTGGCTATAATATTATTTAAATAATAAGTATATTACTAAAACTTTTTTTCATTTAATGTGATTATTATGTATTAAAAAAAAATTAAGACCTCTAACCGAGGTTGTGACTTTGGTATTCAAAGAGAATTTAACTAAAAAAAAACTGTTTATAATACACTAAGAAAATATCAATACTTACAAAATAGGAAGGAATGCAAAGTACGGGTGGTAGCAAAAAGCTGCTTATAATTGCAATAGAGCAACGTTTCTCTGTGCATAAAGACGGCCCGTGTGAAGGATACCTGGAAAAATGAAATAAATTAAATCATATTGCACACCTCTTTTACATATCTATACTTAATATCTATACTTAATATTCCCAGAAAATGTTCAAAAGGCTTCTATCGCCAAATTCAAAAAAATTGTTAAAGAACGTTTGTGTGCTAAAGGCTATTATACAATAAATGATTTTATAGAAGATGGCACACCTTGGGAATGAAATGATCGCCTCCAGACTACTTCAACTTGATAGAAATATTGTAATTTATAATCTTACTTTAAAAAAAGATTATACTTTAAGAAAAGACATTGGTCCCGCTGAGTTTCTTTCGCCAGTTCTTCTCAGGTCTGAGGCTTCTTCTTTCCGAACTGGTAGTAGACTCATGACGTTCAGTAAAAAATTGTAATAATTTAATGCTGAATAAAATATTTTGATTTGATTTGATATTATAAAGAAGCAGAGTTTGTTTGTTTGTTTGATTTAACGCGCTAATCTCAGGAACTACTAATCCGACTCGAATTTTCTTTTGGACTAGATAGTTCGTTTATTCAGGAAGGCTATATATCATCATGCTACTATCCAAGGGAGCGGAACAGTAATCATAAATATCAACAGATTTTTATTTTATTTATTTATTTTTTGCAAAATATGCCAACAATACATTGTACCTACATTCTAAATTATTATGTTATAAGATTACTTATTCTAGTACAAGCATTAATTATAGGCATACACACATTGATTACATTTCCGGCTTTAAAACAATAATATATGAAATGTTAAATACATTTCCAACAAATATTTATAGATAAAATTAACTTAAAGATTACAAGAATTCGAATTCGTGAACACTAGTTTAATCAAATTAATCGAAAAGATCGATGCGAAGCCGTGGGTTCTGCTAGTTTTAATTGTAGATAGAAATTATTATATTATAGATAGTATCTATTTTATTGGTCTGTCACAATGACCTGGTGGCTGACTCTACGGATGGAGATCATGAGATCGGATAAAACTTATTATTGGGTTCTTATGTCGCTTAGTTCATGGGAGATCGGTGGGATTCACCCCCAAACTGTCCTGTAGGACCCCCAAACTTCCCGCCGGTCAAGCCCAATTGCTCGTCTCATTAGCTTATGTGTTTGCTGGTAGATTATAAATAAAAATCTTATGTATATTAGTAAAACTGGCCTCCTTGGAAATATAGTAGGAGAATATCATCAAAGTTATTCTATTTGCCTCTTTAACTAGAGCGATAGAGCTAGGTAGTTATCATCATTATCCTGTTATACTTTCGATTTTATATTATTAGTATGAATGTATACATGCTTTAACCTCATAAGTTACTTAAAAATATTATTAGGACATTTTTATAAAAACATAGATTATGCAAATGTAGATAATATCATTCTTATATCCATAATATAAACAAATATCTGCAAAAAGCTCAGCTGTTTTAACATAAATCGTCTCACTACATTATCCTTCCTTTACAGAATAGACAGTAGACACGAAGAGCATTACGACCCATCCTTTGTTTTCCTCCAACGCGATGTCGATACAATAATTATTATGAGAGATAGTACAAGAACTCAGTATGTACATACTCGTAAATATAAATTATACATATATGATAATACAAACAATAACTCTGTGCAAAAAGCGGACTCTTAGACTAAAAATCATTATATTTTTTTAAATAAGACAACATCGTGAACTAGTCGTATTTGAGTTAAACTGAGCGTATCAAAATCGAACGGTATACTATTTAAGTTAAATTGACCAGTTCAAAAATGCTTGTAAATTACTATTTTATCGGGGAGTTTAAGTTTTGAGATGAAAACCAAAACGTGGACTTCTGCGCGAATTTTACGACTATAATTCGTAAAGTGCTTAAAGTGGACTGAGAAGAGTATATAGTAATATGAAATGGCTTGTAATAAACTGAAATAATTTATTCCAGTAATAAATTATGAAATCCTGTAAACTGAATACTAAAATGCCGTTATTTCGCTAAAACTTCCAAGGAATGTCGCGAACTGTTTTTATTTTGTTATCGTATATGGATAAATAAAAAAAAAAAACATTTAAATTCTAAAAATAACATCTATACAGTTAAATAAAATGTAAGAGTCTGTTTGTGATATCAAAATAACAGCTTTTCACTAAATACATATGAAATTATATACGGAACTTATAAGAAAAACATAACTTTTAATTTTTTTATCTCTCTGTTTTTTCGTGCTTATTTCGCTGGCAGATAGCTGATTTTATAAGAAGTAAGTTAGGCTACTTTTATTATAGAAAAAAATTTAGAGTTCCGCACAAAAAAATTAATACGTCCTAAATATAAGCCCTTCCTATCCTCTTGCAAATTAGATTTTACTCTGCTGCATACAAACATTGTATTGAATACAGAATCCGATCCTTTTAAGAACAGCGTTATGAATCTTTGAATCATGGCAAGAAACTAGTCCCTTAGAGAAATAAGCTTTACAAACTTCTTGGATTTCTTAGAGAAGTTGACAATTGACAATCGATATTGTTATTGGAAAGCTAAAATACGTATGAGAATTATATCAGACTAGTATTATAAATGCGAAAGTTTGTATGTTTGTTCACTTTACGCTGAAAAGGATGAACGGATTTGGATGAAATTTAGAACACCAGTAAACTATGACCTGGAGTAATACATAAACTACAGTTAGGTAGATAACAGACACAGGCGGAGAAGAGTAAATCGCTTGTATTATCATATATTTGCTAGTTTTTCAAAATGTCATTTTCATGCAATATTTAGTTTTCTATTAAAATAACCATTTTTAGAAAGATATCTTGCCGCTTTATTTTAAAGATAACACTCTAAATAATTTTTGCTCAACCTTTTTTATCGAAAGAGAAAATAATTTAAAAAGTATACTACTACTAGGTTACGATAATTTTTAAAATCAATTTACGTTACAAATAAATTAACTATCATTCTGTCCGTACCTTTACCTATACATACAATAAAATTGTAACTAAGCCGAACCTTGACATTAAATATTTTTTTGGAAAATCTTATTTAAATAAACATTATTATCGATACAGAGACCCAATCTATAGTTTTTAAGATTTTTGTCTGTCTGTCTATCTGTCTGTTACCGTATCACAGAAAAATCACTGGAGGGATTTTGATGAAATTTGATATGGTGATAGCTGGTTATCCGGGTCAACATATAGGATTCATTTTACCGCAGGAAAATACCTCATTTCTGAGAAAAAGTTTAAAAAACTGCATTGTAAGAGTATACTAATCTGTAAAACCTAAGAATTTGCTTTTTGGTCATCTGAACGCCGGGCGTAGCCGCGGGCAATGCTAGTAATAAATATTTATCCCATCAACGTTTCCGCGATCCGGATTGAAAAATTGCGCATTAAAATAGAAGCTCATATATTTTCTTTGTAAGATATGAGGTGCGCTTGGCAAAACGCCGGACTTCTGTCATACGTTTACTTTTTGCTAGCCGAGATTTGTAGTCCATAAATGTTTTCATTTTAGCATGTTTTATATTCTCTGAATTGACTTGTTATGCCGTGAGTTTAATAACTTATTTTCTTTGAAAATAAAGCTTATTCAAACTTGTTTGAATGAAAATTATTAAATTTTGTTCTAATAAACATTTCTCAAGAAATATTAACATAATTATATCTTAAATGTTGTGGGAATTCGTAAAATTAAAGCTAACTTATGAGAAATGCTAAGCAATATCATAACAATAATTCTTTGTGCCTTTCAAAATATCAAACTCGTCGTTCTGCGTGTGGCAGTATAACAGCAACTTACTCGCCTTAACAGTATAGGTAATACAAGGTAAATAAATGGAATACCTTTGTTTTGGCAATTTACATGTTGGTTCAAAAATCTCATATAATCTCATGTACATGTAATAAATTATCAGAGCTCAAATGTCACGAAAATATATTTTTTAATAAAATCAAAATATACTTTATTCAAATAGACTCTGTGAGGAATCTAACACCGGTAATATCTTGTTTAAATGTAGATTTCAAATTATGTAAAAATTGGTAAATCTATAATTAATTATCTACAAAAACGCGAACTACTGAGAAGCGACGAATGAGAGGCGTCAATTATGTAATAATCTGTAAATTAGTGTTCGCCTAGTGGTCGAAATTCAACTATAATATCATTGTTGAAAGTTTAAGAAAATCATTTGTGATAGAATTTACCTATCTACATAAAAAATATTTTTATTTCCTAATTTATTGACAACAAAGCTCGACAATCGCTCCTAAACAAAAAAAAGAAAAGTACAGTACGTACGGTTTTTTCTTAGCCTATTTACGAGTATATATAGACCAGCGACTCACCCTCGCTTCGGCTTCGTTTCTAGGTGCATTTTAACAGGTATTATGGTATAGATAGACTATACATTATCTATACATATAATAAAATTGTAACTGAGCCGAATCTATACATTAAATATTTTTTGGTAAATCTTATTGAAATAAACATCATTATCATGATACAGAGCCCGAATCTAAAGTTTTTAGAATCACAGAAAAACTACTGGAGAGGTTTAGACGAAATTTGGTATGGTGATAGCTGGTTATTCGGGTCAACATATAGGATACTTTTTACCGCGGGAAAATGTCTCATTCCTGAGAAAAAATACGAAAACTGCAATGTAAGAATTTGGCTTTTGGTCATCTGAACACGGGCGGAGCCGCGGGCAATGCTAGTATAATATATAGTCTATATACTTCCTTAATAAATGGGCTATCTAATGCAAAGAATTTTTCAAATCGGATTAGTAGTTCCTGAGATTAGCGCGTTCAAACAAACAAACAAAGTCTGCTTCTTAAATTAGTAAAGATAATGTTTCATTGTACAAACTTATTATCTAAAGGCTGAAACTATTATTTTCTGTTCTTGTTCTTCTCTTTGTCAATTGGATAAGTGCGTGAGCTTATAAAAATAAAAATCGGCCAAGCGATTTTTTTTTTAAATCAACAAATAAATTATTTTTTTAAATAAATTGCTTAATCGAACATGTTATTAAAAAACTTTCTTCTAACAAATTACCTACATATTACGTCTACAGTAAAAATGGACAAATAAAGTATTTAAAAAATAATAAAAACCGACTTCTAGGCACTAAAATTAAAAAAAAATAGCTAAACGGGGGTTTTCATTTAGAATAGATACCTAATCAGATATTTTCGAAGCCGGTGCCAGCCGATACAAAGCAAATCTAATATATTTCGATACGTAAAACACATATTTATCTATTAGATATTCATATCGTAAAATATTGTCGGCTGGCAATAAATAAATCTCAATAAATGTAAATCCTATAATGTTATTTTGCAGGTAGATTCCTCGTAACGAGTAGATATTCACTATGAAATCTAAAAGGGTAAAAAAAGTTTTGGAATTTATGAGAATATTTGTTATTTAAGTTATATATTAGTTGTGTAATTTAGGTTATATATTGTAAAAAATAAATGGTTTCTAGTTGTTTGAACGCGCTCATGCCCTTCCGAAAATTCCTTGTTACAGTTTAAAGCCTTATTAAAAGATTATTTAACATCTCGTTATAACTCTTAGCAGCAAAATAGGTACACTTCTATATAAATAAAAAAAGTGTTCGTATGTTTGTCCTATATGCGTTTCTAAACGATTAATCCAATCGTGATGAAACTCTGGTGGGTCATTCTGTATACGCCTGCAAAGATTTCTGGTGCAAAAAAAGATTTTTTCTTCCTTCCTAAACCAATCATGCATATGGACGCACCCGAGCCAAGTGATGGTAGGTCGTTAGTGATACATAAATATGTTTAGTTTTATGAGCCGCGGGCAAACGCAAGTTTATATATAAACTCAGAACACAAACAAACACACATATTACACATCAAGTATCATGATAATTACAGCAAAATTAATGATAACCAATTAATATAAGTCCGAAGCACTTAAACGCTGCTTGTTAAATACGTACTTGATAGCGATATATCTCCAGATGGCCAACGACAGCGTCAGTAATATGGAGGCGGTATGTAGAATCTGCGTGAAGTGCATGTGGAACAACATGTACACCGCCCAGGAGTAGGGCCGGTCCACTTGACCGGGGAACAGCTGGAAAATAACCATTGCTAAGTCTCGATACTCCATAAAACAAACATTATTTTACATTACTACTACTTACTAAATGCTTGTCATCTACTATTATATATATGAAAGTTGTACGTGTGTATGTTTGTTATTTCTTCACGCTGATGGCTGAACGGATTTGGATGAAATCGAGTGCGCAGATAAACTATGACTTGGAGACAGATAAACACATACAACAAACCTGTTAGGCACCTAGGGACCCGAGCAAGAGTGATTTGCAAATTTTAAATACAAAGCTATTAGTATTATGAATAGAAAAGCAAAATAAATTAAATTAAATGTACATATATAAAGTTTTTAAAGGCTTCAATTGTAATAGATTGTGCCCTTGACTATAACCGGGTGAAGGGCTTTTTTTCATTTCTTCCAACGTTTTTGTGCTTAATATATTAATATTCTTAATATATGTTGGGACATTAACACAGCGCCATCTAGTTCCATGGTAAGCTACGACTTACGAGGCTTGTGTTATGGATACCAGATAGTTGATACACTACACATCTAAAAACTTTAAATACATACATATTATAAATATAAACATCCATGACTGGAGTACAAGCATTCGTGCTCATCACACAAATGAATGCCTCCAGCGGGACTCGAACCCGCGACCGCTGGCGCAGCAAGTAGGGTCACTACAAACTGAGCCAAACGTGTTGTCAACTGTGCTAAGGTTGCAACTTTGATTTATTAATTGAACACTTAAAACTTATTATTTCAAAACTTAAATGTTATTATTTTATTACATTAGTAATATTAATTAGATACATTAAACACCCTACATACATCTTGACTGATTTAGAAATAACAAGAAGGAGAAACTAAGTTCTTCTATCCTTTTTTCCACTATTTTTTGGTTTCTTTTTTTCTTGATCACACGTTGTCCTTAATATTTGATAGGGGTTAAAGCAAAATCAAATTTCAATATTGGATTTGAGTCTGTACGAGTAATTAAAATTTTAGGAATAATTCATAACTTCTTCGAAGATAGGTATCAAAACATTTGCAAGCTTTGCAATGCAAAATTTTAAACTACTGATTTAAAATACTAATATTTATTGTCTATAATCTATACTTATTATAAAAATAAGTCCCCCGGCCGCGTCTTTCTGTCCTCCTGTCTGTCCTCCTGTCTGTCTGTACGCGATAAACTCGAAATGGCCCATTTTGGACACCATAATGTGAAAAAGAAAAAATAAAATAAAATCGACGAACTATGTCAAGTGGGGATCGCTGAAAAGGCTTTTAAAAATCATTTTCATTTTATATAACAGTTTAGGATATACAATGATTTAAAGTTCGCTAATCTTCCTATTTAAAAATAATTAAAAAGCTCTAGATAAATATATTATAAAAATAAAAAAGCCGACTGCATAAAAGCTAATTAAAAAGATTAAAGCAAGTTCACGATGGAATATAGTATTATGCAGTTGTAGACATACATACATACGAGTACGTACATCTCGCGGCAAGAATGAAACGTGTCTCCCGACTGCATAATACTATACTCCTTCGTGAACATGTTTTCATCTTTTTAGTTAGCTTATATGCAGTCGGCTTTTTATTTTTATATTATATATATTTTATTTGTCTCTTGTTAACTGATTTTCATGATTCTTGTTTTAATGTTATTATGAATTTGGTGTACATATTTATTTAACTAGTTAAAATATAATTATGTTACTATATTTTTTTTGCGCGGAACCCTGATTCTTTTCTAAACTAAAAGTAGCATAAGTTACTCCTTGTAACATTAACTGCGAGTGAAAGTCCTGTCAAAATCGGTCCAGGCGTTTCGGAGATTAGCCAAAACTAACAGACAGACAAAAATTTTAAAAATTGTTTTTTTTGCACAGTAGTACCGTATAATCTTTCATATGCATTTAGTAAAAACTGTTATTTTGATAATACAAACAGATACTTCAATTTTATTTATCTGTATCTATACTTATTATAAAAATAAGTCCCCCGGCCGCGTCTTTCTGTCCTCCTGTCTGTCCTCCTGTCTGTCTGTACGCGATAAACTCGAAAACTACTGAACGGATTTTTATACGGTTTTCAACAATAGAAAGAGTAATTCTTGAGGAAGGTTTAAGTATATAATTTATTATGCTTTTATGTAAATTAGCTGAAATACGGCGACAAATGTTGAAGAGGTCGCAAAAAATCTCGCCAAATGGGAACTTTCCACGCGAACGCCGCGTAAACTAGCAAAGATACAGTTAAGTAATGTACTAGAGAATTCAAAATCTATAAAAATGCTACAAAAAAGTCCGCGATAGCATATCTCTATCTCTTACGGTTGACTTACAATAACCACTTTTATGTTAACATTTTTAATTAAAAACATTACGTTATTTTCAAAGTTATTTTCTTTAGTTCGGTATTAATCCTTATCCAAATGAATATTTTAGTTAGCTTAGTCATTTAATGCAGATTAAAATTGCTCTTTACACTAAATCAATCAGATGAATAGTTTTTGAGATATCGTTGTTAGAAATAATTAGTAGCGAAACATTTTTAATGCTTGGCGAGCATTGAGATGCCTACGGCGAGTCCATCCCCTCTGCCCCGCATCGCTCGACCGCCTGCTCAAGCTATATAAACCGGGCGATGTAGCGCGCGATCCTAGGATACTTTTTACCGCGGGAAAATATCTTATTTCTGAGGAAAAATACAAAAACTGCAATGTAAGAGTATACTAATATGTAACACCTAAGAATTTAGTTTTTGGTCATCTGAACGCGGGCGGAGCCGCGGGCAATGCTAGTTATGTATAAAACTTACTGTAGCATGAGACTACTCGATACCTGCAAAGAACAATATTGCAATTTAATTAGATATTAATATACCATATTATATTTAAAGTTCAAATCCAAATTGTTACAATACACAGTTGCAAGATTATTCCTTGCAGGTTTGTACTTCGCGTGTATTTTGTAATTTATCTAGTCATCGGAATCGGAAAGCTCACAGCTCTCTTCTTTCCAACACACGCAAATCTTTAATAATTTAAAGCTCACATCTTTACACCGATCGAAGTAAATCTTAGCCATATTTATTTTTCAAACTTGGTATTTTATGTGCTGTTTTAATTATAATTGAAACACAGTTTCCTATTTTTTTTTTATAAATGATAAATATGAAGGTGTAACAAACATTATGCATTTTTTTTAACAGTGCAGTTTATTTGTTTATTAGTTCATTTTCTCAATAATGGAGGTAAGTAATGGCATATCTAAATGTATATCTTAAATTATTTTTGTATTTAAAAAAAAATGTCTGTTGTATCTATCAGTTGGATGACTCTGATAGAGGATGGATAATTAAATTCATAATTTTATCTCATAAAATGTTTTATAAAATAGATCGCTCTTTGTTTTCATAACTTTCCTGTGACTTTAATTTTTCATTTTCATAAAATAATATCTCGTTCTAGTTGAGTAAAAACTTTTTCGTTCATGCTTGGTTCACCTTTACGTGTAAGATTTTGTCAGCAAATTATTTCTACTTTTCATGAATACCTAAAACTTTTATATTTTGTTGAATATAGTTTTGAATGTTTTAAATTCAAAATTATTAATTTAAAGTTTAAAAGTAAAATGTTTTTTAGAAAAGATTTCTTGCAGCTTCGACAAAGACTTACAGAGATAATAATTGTTGGTAGAAATCGTAGAAGTTAAAGTCAATTCGTTTTTGTATTCGTAAGCCGTTTTTAAGTTTAACGAATTGATTTATATACGATATATATATAATATATATCGTACCTACCTTTCGTACCTATTTTGAACATTTTCATTTTACAAAATCTGTTAAAAGTTTTTTCCTTTAAACAGACTGCAGAATTTAAATGAGTCTACCGCAATGTAAATTGGAAAGCGCAAATGACTAAAGCCATTCGTTTAAGTGAGATGAGATACAGATTTCAATATCGTATTACCAAAATCTATAGAACATGGTTGAAGTAATTGAGTTTTTACGGCTTTTGAGCCTTCAACTTACGAATAATAAAATCTTAACGAAAGAAATGTTATCTACAAAAGTTTTAATCTAATATTATTAATTATTAAATGAATTATATTGAGCCGAACTTATTTGAAGTAGGTTCAAGTTTATTTTTTTCCGTGGTAATAGCTGATAAGTAAGAAAATAATTGTAAGGCCTGGAAAGATATAATATTACTAGAAACTCACCCGCGCTCCACTCGGGTTCGTCCCTAGTTACGTTTTAACGTGAATAAGTAAGATACAAACACATAGACATATAAACTTAACCATCACGATAATCCATATCGATAGTAATATTATAAATGTGAAAGTTTTTGAGGATGGATGAATGTTAATCTTTCACGCCAGAATGGATCTGGATGAAACTTGATACAGAGATAGATTATTGTCCCGGAAAAATGTACGGTTCCCGTGGGATAGATTTGATTTGGTCTAGGGACGAACCCAAAGCGAAGTGAGGGTTAATCGCTAATCGTAAATTATAAAAGTGATAATTTGTTAGTGTGTTTATTGTTTCCTCACGCTGTAATACATTTTACGGCTTAACAGATTTTAATAAAATTCCAAGAAAATATAGTTAAAATCCTGAATTAGCACCAAAGTTTATTTTATCGGAGTATCTTTTACAAAAGAAGAGCCGCGAGCAAGTAGTCGTTTATATATTCGTCGTCGTCGTTTGTTTATATTTATATAACTTAGATTGCAATAGAACTTGCTAATTAAAAACCATAGAAACCTATTCACCCGTTTTCGTGTAAATTCACCGGCAAACTGAAAGACATTTTTCGTTCTTTTTAATCGGTCCAATTACAGAGAAAAATCTTTTTCTTTTGCCATCGTTAGTCTAAACTCTTTTTTTTTAATTTAGTCTACAACAGGTACCTGTTGTTACACTGTTATCTATCTAAATTAAATATTTATAAAAGTTTAAAAATAAACATGTGTATTGTATTTGCAATAGTTGCATTTCTACAAATACACAACATATAATAACATATAATACTATTGTGTCGATTGCGATGAAACTTTAACGAGATGATGTGTGCAGATTTGACTTTAACATCAACGTACTTTAATAGGTAGCGCAGAAATCGTCCTGCTAATATTATTCGATGAATGAATGTATTACTGAAAGTTTTTAGATAAAACTTTACAATACTATTATAGCTTATACATCACAGTAACAGCTAGGCCAAATTTTATAAAGATATAGTATATAACACCTCCTAAACCTAAATTTCTAAGAAATTAATTAAATTTCTAAGAAATCTATTATTAACTGTAACGCCGGCGTGTCCGCGGTCGTGGAGGAAATAATTAAACTACACGGGCGAGGAAATGCTAATTTGCGTGATGAGCACGAATGTTTGTACTCCAGTCATGGGTGATTAATGTTTATATTTATATGTATGTATTTAAAGTTATATATGTGTAGTGTATCAACTATCTGGTATCCATAACACAAACCTCGTAGCTTACCATGGAACTAGATGGTGCTGTGTAAATGTCCCAACATATTTATATTTATAGCATATAAATTTAGATTTTCTAGCTTGAATAGAATAGATGTAACCAGTCTTTAACTAAGGTTTATCTATATCAGCTAATTATTACACCCGACTTTAATAATTGAAGGCAGAAATCTAGAAATATTTTTAATCTAAAGCAAATAATAGCTCACAAAATATTTGCTTACGAGCTCATTACGATAGACTATATACAATAATTTATCTTTCATAAGTGTTTTCTTCACATAAATTAAAAATGTTTTTTTTTTAATTTTAGCATACAGTGTATGGCCCTAAGGTGGAGTACTAGAACTTAGTATAGATTTTTTTTATATAACGTTTACTTACCAAATATCTATATATAGCAAAGGGCACGTACTCCATCATAACGAACACATCAGCCACAGCCAACCATTTGAGTAGACGGTTAATAGGCGCTGATGCTAAATCCCGTCGTGTGAGAACCGCTACATTCAATGCATTAGCTAAACTACCGAAAAGACAAATCTGAAAATATATACAAAAATTATCATTTATAAACTCTTTACACAAGGGCTGGTATACGTTTTTATTTAGTCTGAAATTTAGATTTAGTACTAAACGGGTCCCCCATTTTGTATGCGAACACGCTTAAAAGAAATCTCACGTTATTTACCTGATTCTACTCTACCGGCTCAAATGAGCTATGTTTTAATTAAGCCAGTTAAATATAAAACAAACACGTCCCAATAAAATTCATATAGACTTTCTCAAATACTGAGCGATAAAATTGATATACTCTTAGACTGAAACCGTAAATTTGGCTTACATGTCTTCCCATTCGTCTCCCAAGAGCAAATATATGCTTAGTAAAATAATTAATGTTCAACATTTTACCTCATTACCACATTTGACGATTCCATACAATCTTACAAAGGCGTCTAGACAGAGAATGGTACTGCGCGCGCGGGGTAAAACGAGGGGTAAAACGGGGTAAAATTCTCCCGTATGGCATATGTACCCTTCATTATAAAATTCATAATGACTTTTAAAGGTTTCCGAGTTTTATTAATTTATATCAAACTATAAAAACTGTTTACGCGATAAAAGCTGTAAATGACTGCAAATTCAAATGTATGTATCAGCCCTTTTTAACGCCCTTCTGCAGGGCACGGGTCGCTCTTCAATACAAGGAGGGAACAGGCCATAATCCACCACGCTAGCCAAGCTATCTTCTCTTGCAAGCCGTCGTTTATTTAAAAACCAAATTTTTTTATATAAATAATTAATAATTTTGTTGAGTTTCCTTATCTTTTAAGCAATATACAATTCAGATGTCCCAGCTTCAACACTCATCGAAGAGATTTGTTTTGCATTCCTGTCACCAGGACGAAATTCGCTCAAAATGAATTTATATATAGGTCCTGTCGAGATTACAATGTTCACTTTAACGACATTGATTTAATGAATTGTACTGTAGAAAATTTCAAAAGGAAAATTAGAAATGTACTTCTCTTAAAAGATTTATAATTTAACTCCATATCTTATATTAATGCATGTTCTGCTAACATAATTCAAGTGTTGTTGTTTTGTCAAATCTCTACTCTTTTACTGTATGAATTGTTTGTTTGTGGAAACTTTATTGGTGTATGTACTATTTTTATTGTTATATGTTGTTCGTGCTGTAACACTGTATGTTTCCCTAATAATAAATATAAAAAAAAGAGCGGGTTGGCGGACTTCACATGTCTTTCGAAAACTTGCTAGGTTCTCTCAGACATGCAGGTTTCCTCACGATGTTTACCTTCACCGTAAAACAAGTGGTAATCATGTTGAAAATGATTGGCACATAAAATATCAGAAGTGTAAGACCCGGGATTTGAACCCGTTTCACTCGGATACCCAAGCGAGCGCGTTACCACTGAGCTTTCTAATGTACTTAAGGTAAATATTATGATGTTTTTATATTGATATATGCTTATTAGTTATTAGAGTAAAAAGCATTATATGTATTCATTTAGCTGAATTTTAGTTAACTTTGTTTATTATCAACTTACTATAATATTATCTTGCAATTATTATTTTTAAATTTATAATTTGCAAAAATAAACGGACATGAAAATATATAATATATATAATGATAATGTAAAATAAAAATTAACGATTATACATACATTTATTGTTTACTTTTGACACTTACCTAAAACAAATGTCTAGAGTCTAGACGTCGTCATTACTTCAGATCAAAGGCGTAATACTTATTTCTTTATACTGTGCCATTAGATTTTTAATTACGTTATACAATTTTTTAATTCCCTGTTTAATATACGCTGGTAATACATGTTTCTAATTGATGCTACTTTATACGACAGCTGTCATTTTTTTTTTGCAGTGGGTTTGATTCCCAAAAGGAGCAAATATATTTGTGCACAAAACATTTTGGACTGTCTGAACAATCTTGCCAAAATATTTTCTTAGTTCTTTGACCCATAAAAAATTTTTGGAATATTTTCTTCAGACTATATTAAGAGCTGTACATTTAAATTAGCTAATGTAGGTAAATCAATTAACTATTAAATAACATTCGTTATATTCTCAGACTGATTTATGATGATAATGATGTTCTCCTGACCGATTCCGGCCACGGTGGCCAATCTCATTGAGACTAGCCAACTGCGCAGGAGATATTATACTGCAGCGCGTGTGAGGGAGAGCGGAGATACAACGTGCACTCTCTATTCCTGTCACTCTCTTACTCCGATGGGACGAGTACTCGACACGACCAGTGAGAGTTAAGGTGCAGGACCGACGGCTTTACGTGCTCTCCGAGGCACGGGGGTGAAACACCGCCAACTTCTCAACTCCCGGCTGTTACTGAGGCTTACTATACAGAAAGACTCAATAACTAAACTTGCCCGACCCGGGACTCGAACCCAGGACCTCCGGGTGTGCAGCCGTACATGCTAGGCACTACACCACCGAGGCAGTTAGACTGATTTATATCAGTTATCACAGCTTAATAAAGCATATAACTAACTACGTTTTTAATTAAATGTTTTTGTTAAATGATTTGTTCAAGCATACAATTTTTTATCTTTTATTAAAAAGATTTAATAACAAGCAATCTTTAAAGATAAAAATAAATAGAAGTAGGTTATTTTTAGTACACATTTCTCAATTTATAATTTTAGCATAATGTTATTATAGAGAAAGCGAGTAAAGTTTACATTGAAAATTGAATACATGTTTACATAACAATTAAGACATCCATTATGAGAGTTACATTTGATAATCGAAATATTTATGATCTCCTGTATTTAAGCTGCGGTATAGAGGTTAAAGGAAATTAAGAAACTTTTACATTTGAAAGACCATCGACATTACATTTTCAACCGACTTCAAAAAGGAGGAGGTTCTCAATTCGACTATATTTTACCATAAATTTATACGAGTTGTCTATATATCTACATTTATATCTATATATATTTATATAATATATAACAAAGTCGCGTTTCTCACAACACTTACAACTCGAGAACTGCTGAACAATAATGAAATGGCTAGAATAACTATTAATTAGAACATCAGAAAAAATCACGAAAAAAAGTTCAAATGTATATGGCTAACGCTGGCTAATAACTGTTTATACCAATTTAAAACGTACCTAGCGACGAACCCGAGCGAAGCGAGGGTGAATCACTAGTGTAATAGTCATGTTGTACTAATGTGTATTGTACTTTATATTAATCAGATCGAGCTAATTATTTGTTTTGTTAATACAATAATAAGCCAAGAGAAGAAATTCATTCAACCACCCCCATTATAAAATGTAACCAACGCACTTTAAAAGAACAAGCGTTAAATGCAGTAGACATAGAAGTGATAGAATATCGTGCCTCTGTGGCAACTGAAGTAATTAAACATTAGATAACATAAAGCCAATAACATAATATATTCGCATATCACTATCTATGGATTTATGATATAGTATACTCAAGGGAGGAGTGGTAGCTCAGTGGTAGCGTGCTGGCTTGGGAAACCGAGTGAAGTGGGTTCAAATTTCGGGTCTCGCATTTCTGATATTTTCATTTTCCAGTAATATTAACACTTGTCTTACGGTGAACGAAAACATAGTGATGAAACCTGCATGTCTGAGAGAACCTAGCAAGTTTTCGTAAGACATGCGAAGTCCGCAAACCCACACAGGGTCAGCGTGGCGGATTATGGCCTGATCCTTCTCATATTGAAGGGAGGCAGGCCTGTGTCTGGCAGAGGGACGTTAAAAAGGGATGAATACATACATATGTACATACATATTACACACTCGAGGGTTTTTGCAACATAGTCGTAAGTTATTCGCACATTTAATGACATTACATAAAGCTCTCGATTCTAACTTACAGTTATCGGAAAAGCTCAGGTAAATTGAAAACTGTTGTTCTATCCACAGAGTATTCGTCGGTTCATTTAAATATGTAAATATCCGGTCCGCATAGTGGACGCGTACCATCTTGAATACTTATTTCGGTTTATTTTCATCCGAAGCTTTCAATAAAATGAATAGACACAATTACTTACCAATAGACTAATGTATCCATGAACATTATTGTACGTTAAGATGAAATTTCTGAAGTCCCCTGAGCAATAATCTAAGCCGTCGCACTCTTTTATAATGGATATATTGAATTTATTTCTCAAATCTTCTAATGTTTTCAGCCAATCACCGATACTGGGAGTGTGATTGTTTTCCTTTTGTTTAAGAAGAATTAACAGCCTGCTGTCGTCGAACAAGTTAGTATCGTTAAAGCCATAGGTAGCGTTAGCAAGTTTATATCGTGTGTCATCGCTCGCCAGCATTGTGATCGAAGAATGCACCTTTGTTCATCACTTAACACTAACAGTTGATCATGATCCGTCTATTGCGTAACGAAATTCACAAACGTCTTGGTCTAATATTCATTCACTGGTTGCTTGAGAGGAAGCCATTATTGTGTACCTTTAACTAAAGAATATTTTAATGATGAAACAAAATGAAAAGAAAAATGTTACTTAAATAACAAAACAACCTTCGCTGAGCTGTGACATCTTGTCAAAGTTCAATAACAACTTTGGAATATAAAAATAAGACATTTATCTACCTAATACAGTGACAGCGCAAAAAGTGGAAAATTCTTCGAAAAATTTAGAATATTTTTATCATATTATACGTCAGCAAGTATATGTTATTTTAATACTTACTACTGAATTTTTGTGGTAACTACGTATGTATGTACGTAATGTGGCATATCTATACATATAATAAAATTGTAACTAAGCCGAATCTGTACATAAAATATTTTTTTGGAAAATCTTATTGAAATATACATTAATATCGATACAGAGGCCGAATCTATAGTTTTTAGAATTTTTGTCTGTCTGTCTGTCTGTTACCGCATCACAGAAAAACCACTGGAGGGATTTTAATGAAATTTGGTATGGTGATAGCTGGTTGTCCGGGTCAACATAAAAGATACTTTTTACCGTAGGAAAATATCTTATTTCTGAGAAAAAATACAAAAACTGCCATGTAAGAGTATACTAATGTGTAAAACCTAAGAATTTGGTTATTGGTCATCTGAACGCGGATATATATATATATATATTTAAAAATTATCTTACCTGAAAGTACACTTATTAAACATGTTTAATCTTTACACTTTAAGATATATATATATATATATATATATATATATATATATATATATATATATATCTTAAAGTGTAAAGATTAAACATGTTTAATAAGTGTACTTTCAGGTAAGATAATTTTTAACCTTCTTTAAAGATCTATCTATACATATATAATAAAATTCTAACTGAGTCGAATCTGTACATTAATATGTATCTATTATAATTTATCCTGTACATTATTACCAAAATCAATCAGCAACCTATAGTTTAGTAGATTGCCTTTTTCAATTCATTCTCAAATGTTTTAGATTTACTTTTGTTCTATTTTGCGTTTTCTTCTGATTTTTTTTTAAATTGATTGATATCCTACGTAGCATGGGCATTAAAACGAAAACTGAGTTTGAAAGACACTATTTTGTTAAGAACCTACGGCGTACGCATGCTATATTTAGTTACTTCTAACAGTTTCTGCCTATAGATATGCAAATTTTGAAATAATATTTAATTACAAACTCTATCTCGTTATTTCATTACATACATATAATATTATGTCATGACGTGCTTGCAAATTTGTTTGTAGATTTGTTATTATTTTGCACAGTAACGGAACTATAAATAATATTGCTTAATAGTTTTTGCCCGCGGCTTCGTGGTAAGTGGGGATCAAGGATAGCCTATGTGTGTCCATCCCCAGGATGACAGTTATGTTCTCGTCCAAATTTTATCGCAATCTGTTCAGCCGCTTAAGCGTGAAAAGATAGCAGACAGAGTATCTTACACGTCTATAATATTAGTATGGATAGTATGGATGAGGCTACACACTACTTTTATATATTCTTTATTGCATATTAACAAAGTAACACAGATAATACAGAGACCAATGTGGGCAAAGGTTTTTACGTTAATACTTCAATTGACCCCATTGTATATTAGTCTTCTGTTATAAGTTACTTTAGAGAGGTTCTCTCGTTGTTTATTATTTCCTTTGAAGAAAGAAAATTTTCGAGAAATATTTATAATGAAAAATCATAACTGAGTGGACTTTATGATTCAATGATTTCTCTTTGTTTCCGACAAGCGTGAAATAATGAATTTAATGTAGTCTCGAACTTTATATTGATTTTATACTAACGATTGCCATAAAGGACAAAAACTTGGTTTAATGTGACACGAACACGTGTAAAATTTAAAATTTACTTTAATTAATTTATTTTTTAAAATTACTGTGAATTACAATAATCTATACATCTGTGGTTCTTACTGGTGATAGGAATTTAACATAATTAGTGTAGAGCTCGACGACACGTTTGGCTCAGTTTGTAGTGACCCTACTTGTAGTGCCAGCGGTCGCGGGTTCGAGTCCCGCTGGGGGCATAATTTGTATGATGAGCACGAATGTTCGTACCCCAGTTATGGGTGTTTATATTTATAATATTTAAAAGTTATATATGTGTAGTGTATCAACTATCTGGTATCCATAACACAAGCCTCGTAGCTTACCATGGAACTAGATGGCGATGTGTGTTAATGTCCCCAACATATTTATTTAAATTTATTTTAGAGCTTATCTCAAATGTCTCCCTATAGTTAAAAATAGATAGATAGGTGGGTAGTTAGGAGATTTATCAATAATACTTCTCGTATTTATTTCCTACAAACTACACGTGAGGTTCCAGTGTACATTTTCAAGTTATTAAAATAATTAATAAATTTGTATCTTTGTACTTAGATAAGGAAATTAATTATTTACGTCATATACATAATATCTTGTGATAAATTTATATATATATATATATATATATATATATATATATATATATATATAATATTACATTCATTATTGGCTATATTTGCAACTCAACCTTTTTCGCTCAGTAGATGAGGATAAATTAGGATGTGACAGACGTATAGACAGATACGTGACCATATAAGGGTCCTCCTTTTCAAAACTCTTGGAAGAAAAAATATACTTATCCGCTTGTGGATTTATTTGTAGAGATATTTGACATGAAAAGACTAATTTATACTGAACTTATTTTGTATACATCTAAAAAACAACTCTATATTTGCCACTTTAAAATGACTCTACATTTACTTACTAGATGGAACAGATTCCATATACCTGTATTATATATAGAAATAAAAGGTAGCACGTACGTTTGATAGCGCGAAAAGCACATAAAAATCTAAACCTACAAGGACATATAATTTAGCCACGAAAGCTTTATAAACTCAAAAAGCCTTTAAAACTCCAAGTATTATTTTGGATTTTAAATAAAACTGTCTTTTTGGATTTTTTCGCGAATTTGTTTTGATTTTTGGTTCCCGACGTTTCGAATGCTTTACAGCAATCATGGTCACGGGAGAGACTAAGGTGTTAGATGTCTCTAAGGTATTATATACTTGTTACAGACAGCCTACCTACAAATAACAAAATGAATTCAAGAATTGAAATTGGCACCAATGTACCTTACAATATTTTAATTTAATAAATTCGCGAAAAAATCCGAAAAGATAGTTTTATTTAAAATGTCAAGTAGTCGCGTAAATCTAAGAAAGTATTATATTATTTTGGACTTTTACTTTACAATTTATAAATGTTAGTATAATTAATTTCTATTCTAACACAAATGTGGATTGTGTTTGAAATGAAAATTATAAATTTTAAATAGAACATTTAACGTAAACAGAAAAGCAATTAACTCATCACTCAAGCCCTATTTATTTTGTTTTACAATGAAACAAATTAATAGTTAAGTTCCGTTAGAGAAAGTAGACAAAACACATTATTTTAAGTCGCGGATTCCATTTTCTTACAAAGTAAAAATTATAATGAATGGATTTTATATACCATGCTAACGACTCACTCTCGCATCGCTCGGGTTCGTCCCTACTTACGTTTTAAAGTTTAGTATAGATTTCTCAGAGATGAGATATTTTCCCGTACTAAAAAGTATCCTATATGTTGACTCGAATGGCCAGCTGTCATCATACCAAATTTCATTAAAATCCCTCCAGTGGTTTTTCCGTGATGCGGTAACAGACAGACAGAAAGACAGACAGACAAATATTCTAAAAACTATAGATTCGGCCTCTGTATCGATAATATTGTCTATTTCAATAAGATTTTCAAAAAAATATTTAATGTACAGATTCGGCTTAGTTACAATTTTATTATATGTATAGATCAGCTTTAGAATTTAGGTGATGTAGAACATGACACCAGTGATGTAGAAAGAGAGGAAAAAGTGAACATGTTCCCGATTCTAGCCTTAAAAAATTGCAAAACTGCATACAGCTATAAAAATAGTATAAAAATATAACCATTAAGCTTGCCCAAACGATATGAAATATCGGTTTATTAGTTTTATACGCCTGATAAGGGTGATAAGAACAACAATTAAAATAGCTTTATTGGAAACTACATTATAGGCCATTACTGGCTAAAGTGTCTAAAATCTTTATTGCACACTTTTATACTTCTTGACTACGTACCATTTTGATCAAATATCTGCAAGGATTTACAGCTAGGTACATAGATACTCACACCTATAGGTATGTGTAAATTCTGGATTTTTCGAATTCAGTCAATGTGCGTATGTAAGAAGTGTATTCTCACGAGTATATAGTTATATATTTTTGTACAACTCTGATATTTTTGGTGAACAAATCATGGTCAACCCGAAAAAGTTACTCAAAACATAGACAAATTTTACACAAAGATTGCAATAGAGTACTTACTAAATTCTTAATTTTACACTAATATCATTAGGTATATAATTTTAGTTGTGTATCTTTCACTGTTCATTGTATTTTTAAAGGCTGTGGGGGCCCAGTGGTAACGCGCTCGCTTGGGAAATCAAGTGAAGCGGGTTCAAATCCCGGGTCTCGCATCTCTGATATTTTCATGTGAATCGAATTTCAAGCGAATAATTTCTAACATGATTACCACTTGTCTTACGGTGAAGGAAAACATCGTGAGGATACCTGCATGTCTGAGAGTATATAGCAACTTTTAGAAAGACATGTGTAGTCCGCCAACCCGCACTTGGCCAGCGTGGTGGACTATGGCCTGATCCCCCTCATATTGAAGGGAGTTAAGGCTAAATACATACATACATACATACATCTTTCACGACGATCAAGTTATACAAACCGACGCATTTCACGAGCGAAACCAAAGGCAA